TAGGCATGCTATCGTATTGTCACACTGGTAAAATTAGCAGTTAAATTTACCAGCGAGCCTTGTTTTAATCTGTTGTCAAGGCTGTCGATATGAAATAGGCTTGCTACTTCAGGCTCATCCATTGGGGATGCTTTCATTAAACTTATCCGACTATTTCCAACACGCTGTGTTTAAGTCAGTGATATGCTGTTGCTCAAGCTAACTAGTGTATCGGTAATGTGCTTGATACTAATGCGCAGATCGTAAGTTTGCTTCTAAAGCTGTATCAATGCTAAACTTTATCTGGACAAGGGCAAATGCTGTTGCCTAAATTCGATTATTGACCATATGCCGTACTGCTTTAAAGGGGCATGCTGCTCTTTTTAGCTGTTATAAAAGAGCACCCCTTCGCTACTTCTATTCTTCTGTAAGGGAATGCTGCCCCACTCTATGCATTTCAGAAGGTCTTTGCTTAAAGCTATCAGGGTATTGGGATTGCTTGCTTGTTAAGGCTTATCTAGTGTCCAGTATCATATCGTTGCTAGACCTGCTGTTGCTTAAGCGGGATTTATACTTTTGCCTGGCTCCGCTTCGCGAGCCTCCGCTGACTGCGTGCACACCTTCCCAAACGGACAAGGCTTATACTTGTCGCGTTTGTCGTTGTACTATTCTTTGAAATAACAGGGGGCGACGAGGAGTAATTGTCTTCTAAAACCATCGGGAATCACCGGTGAGAAGAAGTCATTTGCCGGTACAAGATTTCTCGCGTGATGAATGAGTTGATGAATTAATAATTTCTTTATGTACAAACTGATTAAAATAATCTTAAGATTTGGGTTTACTTCGCATCAAACACAAGACAACTTTAAGCAAATAGTGTATAAATAGTGTCTACATTAATTCTAATTCTGTTTTTATACAATAAAAATAAAATGTACTTCAATTAAAAAGCCTTAACAAACTATGGAAAAAAAACTAAGCACTGCTTTCCGTCAAAGCGTCAAAAAAGCACCTGATGGAGTTTGAACTTCACATTAAACTGCTTCTGTTTCACACAAATCAGAATGAGCTTTATTGCCAGGTATGTTTACACATACGAGGAATTTGTTTTCGTGACAGAAGCTTCCACAGTGCA